GTGTGTGTTGTTGTTAGTAGTATATATATATATATATATATATATATATATATATATGTGTGTGTGTGTGTGTGTGTGTATACGGGGGGTCGCCAATCGTATGAATGTTGAAGTTTGTTGTCATATTTCGACGCATACCCTATTGTCTGGGGCCGTCGTATTAGATAGTGCAATAGTATCATCATCATCTCCACAGTACGATACATGCTTTAGATTTTCCGCTCCTTCTATTGACCACGCTAATTCGGATTGTAGCAACTCACTTCGGAAGGTGATATTGAAGTACAAGCTTGTATTCTCAATAAACTCGTAAGCGGAACTACTGCCAAATTCAAAGCCGTCCGTAGAGCTTCTGAGTCTAGTTTCATTGGTGTCATTGTCACGGCCGAGCAGAAGAACACTGAATCCGAATCCTTGGCAATCGATGGAGTCGAATGTGACATTGACTGTGCTCTGTGCAGATGTGTTCACAATATTCACGGAAAGCGCTGCGAGCAGTGACATATAGTCGGAAGGGTGTCTACTGGCCCACATCTGTACTAGTAGGAAGTTGGGGTATGTTTATATGTATATATGTATCTATGTATTTGTTTGAACTTTTTCCTATATATACATACGTGTATATGTTCACATGGACCCTGATGGATGTTGTGCATCACATGAAAGCATTTTATAGTTCAATACCTTTCTTCAGCAGCTAAATCTACCTGGGAGTTGCTCTGTTTTCAGCTTGATATTGCATGTATATTGCTTTCCGCTATGTGATGTATATATGTTACCACTGAGACTATTGTCTACTTTGAACTCTGCTAGTATGTTTAAGTCAAAACATAGCGAGAAAAACAGATAAATGACTTTCCCTGTGTGCGTATATATAGAGTACGATTCTTAAAAGTCCCAGGTACTCCCAGTTCCCCACACATGCATTTAAATAATACGAAACGACCCCGAGATGTGCACGGGTTGAATTCTAGGAACGTGAAGGGATTTGTAAATTGTAATCTCTTCCCACGACGCACATCTTTGGATCACCTTGACATTTTGCAAAAATAATCGGTCGGTTTATCGAATATGATCTTATTAATCTGAAGGCAAAACCACGCAATGTCAGAACGTAATCTATTGGTCGAGATGGTCGCAACCTGGATAAAACTGGAGTATTTTACTTGCTTTTTAGTTTTTACACATAAGGACAGAGGACGGCGTTTGCCCTACAACGAACAATGCTTGGCTGACTGGCTGTGGCCGATGTCTATTATCAGTTGTCGTCTCTATAGTCTCTGACTCTATGATGGGTAAAATTGGGTCTGGACTGGTCCATGGAATACGCTCACCCTACTCACACTCTCACAGACTGTCGCATCAGTGGGCAACTGGTTATAGGGATAGTGCCTTCTATTTATTATTTCATACAGCCATCTTCTCTGTCTGTGATTATGTCTCTTTTTAATATTGTGTTTGATTGTTTACACACAACAAGGTTCAGGCTATGAGTGATGAGTGTGCACTGTACAGTAATGTTTACATAGTGCCCGCTGCCCAGCTAATATAAATAGTTTTAAAAATACGCATACTTTTCCGTTCAGCGTTTATGCTGTAATGCATAGCCTTCTAAATCATACATGTGATGGCCCTATGGTTGTCGCTATGAGTACATTTCCGGAGCCCTGAGGATCAAAGGTTTTATATATTTAACCTGTTTGTTTCACATAAAGGGTTGTGAAATGTCAAATATGATCCGTATAAACGGAATAGAAAAGTATATGTACATCAAAAAAAAATAAGGCATACAGTAATGTTTTTTTTTAACTACTATTTATGTACGTGGTTTTTTGTATAATTTTGTTTTTGAAAAACAAAAAGCAAATATTCAATTTTGTGAACGTTGGCGACTCGGCATAGTCGTCCTCATACGCAAGAGAAGAAGGGAGAGAGGGGGGGGGGAGGAAGATAAATGTTTAATTTAGAAGGCTATGATATTTATTATTGTCCATATTGATTGTATATAGATAAATAGTATGTCCGAAAGTTTAAACCTGCTTTGTGGTTTTTCTCGTTGCTTGACGCTCGTATTTTACAGCACAATAATTTTACTCAGGGGTGGGGGGCATAGACTCCGTCTCGGTATTTATTTAATGAAAGTAGAGATAGTCATTGCGAACTCGCGAAAGAATGATATCTACATTTTACGTTGATATACTCTTGTGTACATATTCTCGAAATCTCCGAATAAGAAGTGAGGATCATTGATTCTAGCAACACCAGTTGTATGAAAGGCATTATGTCAATCCTACAGTAAAAACGCCCGTGAGTTACGCCGGAGTGCACTACAAACAGATTTGTTTCACTGTTACAGTGATATGACGAGACAATGTATGAATCGGTTTTGTTCCGAGCTCCGGATCAAACCCTCCTTTAGTCGGTCGGTTTTCTTGGTATGTCTGTATTAGGCAGAGGAGGGGGTTTTTATTTACTATATGCAAGGTATGAATAGTTATTTAGACAATTGCGGTCACGGTATCAAGGCATCAAGCGGCTTCCCCGTATCAAACCATGGCTGTAGCAAATGTAGAGAGGGAATTATGACTTACTATCTCCTCGGCGCGTACAATACAATGAAAATGCAAACCAAAGCGAGTGAAAATCAAATACATAAATAGATTTTGCCACACCGAACTCATGCAGTATCGGTGTGACGGTTTAAATGATTATAGCGTATGTTTTCCAATATCAAGTACAGGGCGTCGCTAATACAAAATATCGGGGGAATCCAGCATCACCATTGTCATCGACGCTATCTACAGAACACGTAACTATAGAAGTATCCACAGGGATCAAGAACACTGAACACAATACTAAGAATTGTGTTATAAACTAACCGGCCATTTAACAGGTCATTGTCATCGACGCTTTCTAGTGACCACTTAACAAAAGATTTATCAGCAGGAGTCTCAAACACAGATCACAATACTAAGAACTGTATAATAAATTTAACCGGCTCGTATCGGTATATCCTATTAGTACTTCCACATTTCCGGTCTAAATCAATGTCGGTCAGTGCCAGAAGAACTTTATTTTTTGGTACCACCAATTCGTTCTCAAACATGAAGATGTCTCTCTTTTTATTTGTAATACCAATTCGTTCTAGAACATGAAGATATCTCTTTTGTTTTTGCTATACCATTTCGGCTTTGAAAATGGCGCCTCGCTCGTTGTAGTATGTGATCCTGCATGGAGAGTACACAGACGGTTCATGAGGGAAGTAGGCTCAATACGATACCTGGGAAGGTTAGGTGAGGTTTATGTGGTCGACACTTGATAAGGCAACGAAGGAAGTCGTGAGTAGGTTACGAAGGAAGTCGTGAGTAGGTTGATTAGAACAGCAATAACCTTTTGCGTATAACCTAAAAGCCTGAAAAGTTATTATTACGCATACATATAGTCAGGATATATCAGGGCACGAGGATTAAAGTTGAAAGCGAGCGCTCATTCGCGAAGTGTATGAGATTGTAGTCGGGCGTGTAACACAGAACATGAGTGGCCAAAAGCTCTGTGTTCATAACTAGGCAATATAGTACATAGAGGCATGCATGGAGTTGCGTAGACCGATCACTCTATACTACAGACGCTCTACAGGCATCTACATTGTAGCCGTCGAAGCTATATGCATTGAAGCGCATGTGAGTAGAGTCACTCTACACACCAAATACGAGCACACTCTGCGAATATACAAATGGGACAGGAGTGCACTTCAGTTGCTATGCGGGAGGCTTTTAAGTTTAAAACATATATCACGTGCCCCCTCCACCCAATCTATACACCATGCACGCGTACACCGAATACGCATAGCCCAGACGAGTGGGCACAAGCTACATAGAGAAACTAACGAAGGAAGTGATAAACACCACATACGAGTACGAAGGCGCCATCGATCGGTTGAGAAGGGCCATATCATTGGTGGGGACTGGCGAAGGAGACCGCTGCACGGGGGGAGGGGGTGCAACCTCCTCAAACTGTGACGCGTCTCGTGCCAGTTGTAGAGCGGTTCTGGAGAAGGCAACCACGACCAGAAGATGTATGTTAGATGGGACAAGCGCGCAAGCGGTAAATGGGTGAGTGTTAGTGTGAGTGGAGGCGTGTTTGCAGGGGCACTATGTATGTTGCATATATGTATGTGAAACAGGTATGTAAACGGGAATAGTATACGAAGTATATGATCATGTGATTCGTATGCACGTATACGGATTTCATATACCTGTAATAATTGTTAAAAACTCATACGCAAGCAAGCGAAAAGTACTGAAAAACACTTAGAACCTCTTGAAAACCACTACGAAAATTTGTATTCTAGATGACGGTTGAAAGTGTGACCAATGCAAATGCCATCAGAGTGGTCCGATTGGCGCAGACGGAAATGGTTCCAAAGCTTCAAATTAGCACCACGTACCCATAATGTTCCTCCATCATATCATAGAACCGTTCTAAGGCCTCGTCAGACATGGGGTTGTATTTGTAAATATGCTGAATATAGTATAGAAGAAGAAAACAGTACATGAAGATTAAATATATACATATATAATGTGGAAAATTTCGAAGTTACAGATGCATGCATCAAAAACAACATATATATGCATAACACACACATATATATATATAAGTATTGTATATATATATATATATATATCTATCTATATATATATGTATATCAATATATATATATATATATTATATATATAAACATATACATCTATATATGGATATATATATATATATATATATATATGTATGTATGTATGTATGTATGCGTGTGTATGTGTATGTATATATATATATATATGTGTGTGTGTATGTATGTGTGTATGTGTGTATGTGTGTGTATGTATGCTATGTGTATAACTACTAACATAATTGTTTGTGTATCTTTATCAAAATATATGTATCAGTAAATATCTATTAAAACACACTCACTCACATACAAACTTACTATTATATACTATATATATATATATATATATATATATATATATTATTATTATATATATATATATATATATATATATATATATATATGCTGAACATCCAATGATAATAACATGCATGGCAAGTCTTATTCTAACTATACATTTGGATACAAATAATTGTAGAACATATGTACTGAGATTCAAAAATAGTCAGATGCATATCCATGAGCGTGCTTCCAAGTAGTATTCGAAATTGTGCCGAAGTCACTGGCCGCCATTAAAAGAATCTACAGACACCTATAATATAGTATACTGGCATATATTGTTACGATGTCTATCATGCATATACCATACATCAATCACATACCCCTAACGCTTGTCGTTCTAATTTCATGAAGCCTTTGTTCACGGTACCCCCTGGGGGAGCCCTCGTCCGCATGTCGAAGAGCGTTTCCACATCATCAACTGAGAGGTCTCTGGGCTTTTTGTTCGACCCACGTGAAAACGTGATCATCTCCAGTCGGCATCGGTTCTCGTGCAATATAACATACTTCATCTTTCTTTAAGGTGATACTGTACTGTCCGTATTGTCTGTATTGCATCGAGCGCTTGTTTCTACACGCGTCTGTATTTGTATGTTATAAATATAAATAGAAGTATTTATACAAATTCATCTATTTATAAATATTTAAGTCTAGCCGGCCGGTGAGTTGTGCCAGACTGATCACTGATGATTGCCCCAGGCCCAGGGTCAGAGACGATATACACATATTTTTAACAGTTACTCGGTGCTTTTGTTCATATAAATATTTGGCGGGAGAAACTTTAAGTAGTCTTTTTTATATATATAAACAAAACAGATACCTTTTCCAAACTTAGCCTCCCGAAGAACTTTTTTTCTTCCAGAAAGTGCAAAACTGTAGGGCAGTGCAGACTGCAGAGTCTGCAGAGTGCACAGGCTGATGACACACACGGCAACTCTGCAAGTCACAACTTCTGGTCACAACTCACACTCATAGCCCACAATTCGTATCACAACTTCGATCTTATCGCACCTTTGTGCAGGCAAATTGGCTCCACCAACCGAGATGCAACCAGTTCTCGGGCCGTATATATATAGTTGTCTGTTTCTAGATACAACAAGACATACGTACATCTTTTTGGGGGGGAGTGGAGGGAGAAGAGGCGAATCGGGGACCCAGGGGCAGAAACCTAGAGCCCCAGATTCCCATCAATATGTACGAGAGTAGTTGCAGTCTTAGTGGGATGTAGTTATAAATATTTACATATCGTTCATGTGCTTCGTCTAGACGAACCCTTTGGCATATTTTTAAAATTTGCGCCGAATTGGTGCAATAGTCACCGAGTTACATACATTTATTTTAAAACAACAGCAAAAAGAGTGTAAATGATACTGTGTCTGATAAATACTGTGTCTGACTGACATTGCTGGATAGCGACCCGGAGGGTCAACTTTTCTTGACCGATTTTCCATGTAAATTGTGAGAACTTAATGAAATAAATAATTATATTTGCGTCTACACGATAGCAATAAGTGCCCAGTGACACTATTCTATTCTGCGCCGAAAGGCTGTTCGGTGAGTGTTCAAGCAAACCTTATATATCATCAACACAATTGATGCCAAATGTCCCTTGACAGGCATTAATTTGTATTAATATGTATATACTGTAGCTTTTTGGACGAATGCTATACAACAGTAGGAGTCTCGAGGTCCACTCCCCTCGCATCACGCCAATCAAAGGTTTCCGACATGAGCCTGGAGGAAGGTTTAGCTGTATTATTTCCGAGGCTGAGATGCGCATTGAATGACCTTGAGAGAGACGACCGCCACTGTCGCACCCGGGCTGACAGGGGAATGGATTCAGCAGATCGAAGTGTTTGCTTTGAATTTGTGGACACTGTGGTGGGGTCAGTTGAGGCCTGTTCGTTTGTGGTGGTCTTCTTCTTACGACGGCAACAGCAGATGCTGGTAATGATTATCAGCAACACCAACAGTGCGGCAGACCCGGCGAGAATGTACGTTTTATTGACATCCCAGAACGAGGGCGTATTGCTGGCTGAAACGGTAGTTGTATTAGCATCCGCCTCTATTTGAACCGTTGGTACTGATGGTGTGGCATCAGGATTTGGGCCGAGGTTAGAGCTATTCGCGGTTATGATGTTAAAAATGTCGACTGTATCTATCCCTGTACTCGGTTCGTCTGGTTGTGTAGTTGCTGTGGACGGCTCGTCACATGGCAGCGTGCAGTTGGACACTTCAAGAGTAGTACACGACTCGGGACTATCGACAAGTGTAGTGTTGTTACTATTTGTGCATGTTCTTTGCCTGGTTGCTGTTCCATTCCCACACTCGGCCGGCACAGCACACTCAGATATCGGCCCCCATTCATCACATTGACATACTGGGGCCACTATAGGGCAATCAAGTGTGCTACATTTTCTGGTAACTTCTGTCTCACACTGGCCACTACTGGTAGTACAGCCCCTGCGATACACCTGCACACCTTCCCCGCAAGTCACACTACACGGAGCTGCGGCCTGCCAATCCGAACAAAAACAGCCAGGTGCACAAGTCCCCGTATAACACACGGCTGTTTCGGTGGGCTGTGGACATCCCAAGGTTGCGCTGCCGTCAGAGCTTGCCGTAGTCTTCTGGCACATTCTGGCTTGGGTGCAGCCAGTCTCGCTGGTGAGAGCACAGGACGACCATGGTCCCCAGAGCTCACACTCACATTCAGATTGTACTGCATCACTATCATTAATATGTTCCTCCTCTTCTTCTTCTTCTTCGCCCTCCACCTCTTCATCATCACCATCATCATCCTCATCATTATCAACCACTTGCCTGACTAAATGTTTCAGCATTGTTTTTCGGTTGGCTTTATGTGCAAAGTCGGCAATTCTTCGCTATTCATAAATGATTATACAAAAGCATCTAGCTACATTTTTTTATACTGATTTTTTTATGAATACATAGTAAATTATTGATTTGCAGAAATACTTCAAATTCACGCTTTAAAAAATACGTTACCGTTGAATAGATTGATCAGATGCACTTTCACGCATCGTGCGCGTTCATCCCAACATGACGTAGCCTTCTTATCAATTCCAATGTCGTACTAATTTATAAATTGACTTGTTTTGCGTATAACACCATGTGCTTGGGGCATGTCCGTCGCACTTTTTTTCACGTTGAATACTGTCAACGTGAATTACGTAGTAGTTTAATACACAGCATTGACACATTTTGGTAGATATATCATCAATGCGTGGCAAAGTTATAAATGTTAACTTCTCTGTCTGTATCGCTCCTAATCGGCAGTGAACTCATGGGGGGAAAGGGGGTCTCTTCTGAGCTTGGAAGTATAGAATAAGTTGAACCCCTAGTTCAAGTCACTGAACTTTCTTTATATGCTATCTTTTCAGCACATGTCAATTCCCTTATTTTATAATACACCCTAATGATCGTTCCATTGATAACTTTTACACATGTTAACTTAATGATGGTTGAGCAGGGTTATAATATTCGTCTCAATACTCACTCGTTATCCAGATATTAGGAAATATGTATGTAGCATTAGATTGTATATCTTGACTGCAACATAATAGCGATCAATTGACTGCAATATAATAGCTGCAGGAGCGGCTTCCCAATGCATAAAATATTAAAACCCAATATTTTCTACCTTTGGTCATTAAAGCTGATTAAATCTTGAATTGCCTAGCTTATTTCATATGAACGTCACATCAAGAGCTTCTGGTTATATATTATCGTGACCTGTATGACTTGTATACACATGTGCATGTTGTCAAAATAGATGCTCAAAGGTAGACGGCCAGAGCGGCCAAACCTCCAAATTGAAAGTCCTAAGTCCAAAGTCCAAACTAGTGAAACTACTGCTTGTGACGTCCAAGTACTAATATAATGGACCAATCAGATGGCCCTGATAATCAGGATTTCTACACTCCATACTCCACAGGTTTTTACTTTTTTGACACTTTACAGTCCGTGGCCGAAAATATAAATTATAATCGCGATCTCAATTCTCCGCCCCTCTCCTCTCTGTGCACTGTGTCTGACTGTCCATATGTGCCAGTGCTGACGTTTACTATCATATCACCTCAAGTGGATTTCCAGTGATTGGCATAGTCTTTATCGAACCCTACAGCCTTGAACGCATAGGCCAGGACGATATTGGTTGCTCTACTCACAACTTGGAAAGATTTGAGTATCGACAGCCGTGGCTGAGAATCTACGTGCAAGCTATAAACACGCGTTTGTCTTATTCTCGAGCAGTATATGTCAGTAGATTGGTATTCTACTAAAACAGCTAGATGAGCTGGATGAGTACTGCAGTCTCAGTAGCTGGTATCGTCACTGTGGTAACTGCTCACGCTGTGTTGAATAGGCTCGGCCGAGTCAGGTATGTGGATATACATACGATACTCACAAATCAATCATCCGGCTTCAGATTTTGATATGTAAACACAAGGCATAGATGGAATGCAGAAATTTGTAGTACTGAAATGCAACAGGACTAGTATATATCGTCCTAACATACATCAGCACAAAAAATGGATGCAAACACCGAAAAATAGATATCGTTTGAAAACATATACGCATCAAACTTGACGCATTTAAACACGCAAAA